AATATAATATAAGACAAAATTTAAAAATGAATTTTTTAAGAACTAATAAGTTTTTAATTTCAACTGTTAATATGTTAGTATATGTAGTTTATAAATATATATTAAAATAATTATTATAAATACCAATTTTAAAAAATTGATGACCAACTTAGCGAAATGTGATCGAACCTGATCAGACCAGAAGATAAAATCATTGCCTGTTATATAATATTCTGATACTAGAGGAAGTAAAGTTTTAGTCTAGTATCTCTCTATTAGTGTATTGGTTAATTTCCAGCTTACTGTGATGAAAATAAAGAGGGAATATTCCACGGGGGCTGATGCAACTAGAAACTATGAGCTTGTTCTTGTACTTTTTACGCAAGTTGTATCTTACTTCGTCAGAACATTAAGAAAGATTAGCGGCATAAAACCTTTCATTACCATCTAATGTGCTATTGTTTAAGGTAAAATAGCTTCCATCATCCATAACAAAATCCAAGTTTTTATAATTTTTGTACAATTTACGACATTTAGGACGCATAACTTTTTTCTGCTGATGACTACGATCTAGACATTTTTTTTTTTGAAAGTTTGAATGTTAGCCATTGTTTTTAATACTTGGGAAATTCGAGTTTGACTACAGTTAAAAACTTGAGCTACTTTTTTTTGGGAGCACCCTGACTTTTTTTTAAAAAAATGCTGCAATTTTTGGAATATTTTCTTTAGTAGCTATGTTAGCGATTTGACCACTTCCAATTTTTTATTTTAGAGATCCCTTCTCCAATTTTACGATTTTATTGTAAGCAGTTGATCTGCGTAAATCCCATTCCATAAACTGATTTGCAATAAAAAAGCTTTACCTTTTTCTCAATTTTTTTGGAAAAAAATTTCCATCATTTTTTCGAGGTCTTTCATTTTGATCATTTTGTTTTCAATATTTAAATAATATTTTTAAGTTAACTATGATTATAAAATCCTCTTTCAAAATAAGTATAAAGGTTTTTTGCGTGCGTGAAACAAATTACATAATAAATGCAATTAAAATTTGTCCGAAATTTTATTTATAGAGTGTTACTTTAAATATTTAAACACACTTGGTACTCATTACTAAGGATGCTTAATATATAAAAAAAATATTTAGGTTTAAAATAAATGTAATATAAAAGTTTAAATGGTTGCTAAAAACGAGCGTCAATGATTTATTAGTAAATAATCATAAATTTTACCCCAGCACATTTTTTAAAATTATTATTTATAAAAAATTATTTTTTTTGCAAAGAAATCAAATTTATAAATTGCTAATATGTTAATAATTATAATCTTTTAAATAACGGGGATCGAATACAACAACATTATAATTCATTATAATCATTTAAAATTATTTTTTGCGTATTTATTTTATTTTCTATATTTACTATAGTATATTTTCTAAATAATGTCTAATTGTGATATTTCTTCAACAATATCATAATCGATAATTTAAAGTTTTGTCTAAATTTAAAGATATTAGAAAACAATTTTATAATATAAGAAAACTCCAAGGTTTGCAGAGCGTCACTTAAGTACTAGACTTGTTTATATAATTATATTTTATAAGTATTAAAAATATTTATAATGATATTCAATCCCAATTTGGTTTTTATATTGTGAGTAGAAATTGATTGATATTTACGACGCCGACAATAGTTTCACAAAGAGTTATTTATTACCTTTTAATTAACATAAAATTATCTGTTGCTAAGTTAAGTTGTTATTATTAAGTTTACCTTTCATGAGAGAAAGTTGGTTACAATTTTATAAGCAATTCTACACCTATCCATTTATCTCTTCTGTTTATGTGAAAAGAAGAGCTGGAAAAGATTTAAAGGCTATTGAAATTTATGTTTCAATGAAGGAATTTTTTCTAACTTATAATAAAGTGTAAACTTTATTATAACATTTAGTCCCATCTTGTTCATTATTGCATATCTACGTCTTCAATTAAGATCGTGTTTGTATCGCCACCATAAAATTTCGTAGAATTTATATTTAAATTAGGCTATAAGTTACATGCCAGTAGCGTGGGGAAGAAGATCAAGGGCGCTGTTTCTTTGAGCAAAAAAGAATAAAAATAAACAAAAGCTGGGTACAAAAATTAAAAAGACGAGCATAAAAAAGTTGCCAAAGTCAAAAAAGTCAAAAAAGTTGTTTTTGAGCCTAGAGACTATAAGGTACGGTAAAGTACAGTACGGTAAAATAAAAATTACCAGAGCTATTGGCATATATTGAGTTTGCTTTTACATTAATATGCAAAGTCTCCAAGTTAAAATATTTTGGCTTTATTCACTGTTTTATAATCTATGAAAATATATTATGGGCAAGTACGCACAAAACAAAACTTCAAAAAAGTTGCAGGCTAATAAAACTCGCAAGCAGAATCATATTCTCTAAACTTAAACAGAAATTTGAAATAAACATCTATCAACATCTATTTTTTATGCATAGTTACTACAAAACCTAGAAATATTTTTTTACAACA